TTCGGACTTTGAAATAGATTTTGAATCAAAATCCAAAATTTTCAAAATCCTAATTGTACTCAAAATTATTCCGAATATGAAACATAAATTATAAGTATCAAATTGGATCTAATTCAAACTCTTGAATTTTCATGTTCATTCAAATCTCTTCCGAATAATTAGGCTGTAGGATTCCATCCAATTCCTAATCTATTCAGATCTGATTTGTAAAATAAATATTATCACAAAATATTCCAAATATTATTGTGAATATATATTGGATCAAGTTCGAATTGTTCGAAAATCACATCCTTATAAACTTTCGGAATATAGCATACATATAAATTCCGAAATTAATATATCAATAATTTCGAAATTAATAAAAAAAAATTAATTCCGAAAATAAATCCCAAAATAATCAAATTATAGATTATACATCAAATCGTGTAACCCGAGTATAATAAAGAACCGTAGGCTCTGATACCACTGTTGGGTTTCGGGCAGAAAAACGCAGCGGAATAAACAAAAATTTTTCTACCCAAAAGTAAATGAACGGATCTGAGGTTCTTATTATAAACGAAATTACAAGAATTTAAGAGGGACTTACATAGCAATCTTAATCAGGGATGTCAGACAGTCCGAGAAAACGATCCCGAGCTCTACCGGTATCCACACGCACGTGACTGGATCGGCCGCAGGGAACGTGCTAGCGTTCTCTTCTTTCTTCCTCTCTACTCTAGGTTTGAGAAGTGAATTTTAACTCTTAAAATTCGTGGGTCTCCTTAGCCCTATTTATAAGAGGTGGAAATAAGGAGTTTTATGGCTAATAAAACCCTTAAAGAGGCCCTAGCCCAATACCATTCGAAACCCTCTTTCGAATTGGGCTAATCAAGCTATTTTAATGTTATTAACAAACATTAATGATCCAAATCACTTAGGTGTGTGACCCTGTAGGTTTATATATTATTGGCAGTGGGCTAGAAATTAATTCGAGCCTCACAAATCATAAGCGGTCTCTAGCAAGGCATTATGACTATCCAAAATATATAAATGTCAATTAAATCTGACATAACCTTTTAATGATTAATTTGTGCTAATAATTCTCTTTTGTCAAACGATATCTTAATTGAGACAAGGTTAGGTCGTGTCATCCTTGTTATTCTCAATTAATATTTCTTGATTACCAAGTAAGATTAATCTTGATCAAATGACACCTCATTTGAGCATGGCCATGCTAATTAATCTTACTTGTCAAGGGGCCCAATAGATATCTTTCTCTCGATGTACAAGAGTGACAAAAACTATCTTGATAATTCACATACTACTACATGGTTCATAATATGTACAATCACCACCTTTATAATTATCCAGTTAAAGATAACATTTAATGGTGTTAATACATATTAATTCTCATGCTAGTAACCATGATTATCTCAAGTATAAGAATATAGCACCTCATCATTATTGAGGACAACACTGATGACATATAACCTAGCAGTGTCCCCAAGTTGGGTCTGTCCAATGAACTTGTTCCCTAACAAGCATCTATGTTATTAACTTGATATCTCTATACCCATGACTAGTGGAATATAACCATCAGTTAATCCACATACTGGTCTATTAATTATTAATGTCCCAAATTAATAATATTAGACCAGGGACAATTAGAATATTATGTTTATTTTAAAGTGTAGCATTCCACAATTAAGTCACATACTTAATTAGCTACTAAACAGAATATTCAGGGACTAAATATTAATAAAGAAAACTCACAATAATAATTAACATAAAATGAGTTTGCAACTTTATTAATTAATGAGCATTAAATATTTATTGATAAATCATAAACTATGATTGTCCTAGGGCATATTTCCAACAATACTTTCATTTATTCACCAGTTTTGGCACAAATATATTGAATTAAATAGTTTTTATGATATTTCATATGGCACATATATTGTATTTATAGAATTTAGAAAAAATATTCCTTTTGTAATCATCTATATATATATATATTCTTTTTTTACCATATCATTCTTTTTACTACCTCCACCCAGCTAGCATTGGGACATGAGAAAGTGACACATTTAATAAGAAAAATAGATTTAACTATGTGTTTGATATTGAATTGATAAAGTAAGAATAAACAAAGAGTGATTTAGAACCACAATAAAAATTTATCAAATTTGATATGAGACGATCTAAAAATTTCAGCTAAAAATTTAATCGGGAATGTATTCAAATTAATTGTTGAAGATAACTGTGCACTCAAATGAGCAGTTATCGTAAAGAATTAATTTGAATGTGTTCCCAATTGAAGTTTTACCTGAAATTTGGTTAGAGTAAACTAGACTTGATGAATAAATGCTAAAAAAATCATCAAAAAATTCCACTGGGAACCGCCCCAAATCGCGACGACCGGACAGAGCCTCCTAAATCTCCTAAATAAGGAATTAATTAATTTTTTTTATAAAAGTTCGAGGACCTATTTGACAATTTTTCCGCTTTTTTAGGATAATCTTCATATTCATCACTCATGTAAAAAGAAAATTGTAAAAAAAAATTATAAAAGCATTATATGTGTTACAAATATTTACATAATAATTGTTCGATGATATTAAGATTTTGAGTACATTTTAAAGATAATCAATTTTTAAAAATAAAGTTATAACAAAATTCAAGGAAAGCGAAGTATAAAAACCTTTTTTTTTTTAATTTAAAAAGCAATAATTTTCAAAAAAAGATTAAAAGAAATACGAGTTTGGCACTTTGGTCAGTTGGTGCGCTGCATACTTTGGTAAGCCACGAAACTGAATTCAAAATTGAAAGTGGACAAAACGGTCCAACAAAGAGGAAAAGATGGTGCCAGTAGTAAGTTTTGGGGTGCGCGAAGAACGAGCGTTTCATTTTTATTCTCTAGCCTAGCGTGTCTCCGATTTCGGAAGGAATGAGAATGTACACCTAAAGAATAAAATAAGCACCAAAAGAGGGTATGCATACTAATCTTACAGTCCACTGTAGCAATTATACTTGCTGGTAAATTTGAGCTTCTATTACTTTCTGGGTTCGAATCCCCCGGCAGTGGAGTATTTTTGTATTCACTTAAAAATCCTAGGATTTTGTTTTTGTTGTTCAAATTCTTCTTCTTTTTAGATGCAATGTTACAAGAGCACGGATTATCTAAGTGGGACTGTGGGAGGACTGCTCTCCATTTTGCTGCAATGCACGGACATGTTAGGTGTGTGAGGTTGGTCATTTTTAATTTTAGACCTTATATAAATAGTTTCAAGAATAATTATTACAATCATTCAATTAATTATTTCACTTGAATTTTGTTTATGTGCTTAAATAGAATATTTAAAGGAAATACTTGGAAATTTATAATTGTGATCATCTTTTAATTGTAACAACCATATCGATTATAATAGTAAGACCTCCAGGAATAAATTATACGTAGTAATAGTAACTTAGTCCAAAAATCTTGTGTTCAACTTTTACACCTAGGTCACCGGACAACTATACTCCTACTAACTTTAGTTAAATTTTTTAAATAAATTACTCTAACCACCCCAAATTGAGTTACGGAATTGATTTTATTTTATCAAACAGATTCATTTTATTGTTTTGATAAGGATATCAATTCTTAATCAGTTTTTTTTTGAGAGAATTCCCTAAATAGGAGTAAAAAAGTTTTGAAATTCCAAAATAGGAGTATCATGTTTTTATTCCCTAAATAGGAGTAAATTTCTGCCAAGTTTGGAAATTACAAGGCTTTAAACATGGAATTTTTTTCCAAACTTGGCAGATTACTCCTATTTAGGGAATAAAAAACATGATACTCCTATTTTGGAATTTCAAAACGTTTTTACTCCTATTTAGGGTAATTTCTGTTTTTTTTTTATCATCAAAACATGCCTCTATTCATATCAAAAGATTCAGGATCATTACATTAAGCAAAGAGACAATAAAACTGACACCAACTGAAACTCCAACAACTACGACTGTAACCCTATGGTGAGACTTTGAGACGGTCACCCCTGAGAGAGCAACACGAATCGCTAACCATGTAGTGAGCTTGACACAGCCAAACATGTTCTCATAGATCCACCCATGCCCAATGACATAAAGAGAGGCAAAAAACCCAAACAAACTGTCGAAACCAACAACAAAAGTGGACACAGGAAAACAAATAACAAACAAATAAAAACTACAAGAAAAACTTTCACAAACTCTAGCACCTCGTACATCCTATGGTGGTGGTTCGGGAGGAGGTCGTACCACCGGTACCATGCTAATTGATCCTCCATGACCTTTGGCTGCCAAAGACCAAGCATCAATCCTCCGTCCCTGCATAACCAAACTCATCCCTGCTCCGTGCGACCGGAGTAAACGGATAGGCGGCGCCGATCTTCTCCAACGACGATAGCCACGCCGCTTCCTCGACCCTCGACCACAGCGCCGATCTCCTCGAGCCATGACAGCAAATCCGCCCTCCTCCACCGATCTCCGCCCTCCGCGTCTGACCTGGACTCTAGCCGAGCACCAGCGACCAAGGGAATACAAAACCGATCTTCGACAAAGTCGAAATCGGAAAAAGACTCCAGCGGCCGACATAGTCGAAGCCCTAGAGAGAAAACTCCTAATATTCCTTTAACTCCTCAAAACCAGCGACTCTTCCTGTCCGAAAGCAAAACAAACCAGCCCAATCCCAAAGCAACCAGATCTGCTCCTCCTCGTTCGTACCAAACCGAACAGAAAAGCGATTGAATACGAATACAAAGAATCGCCGCACTATTGATTTATTCTTAATCAAATTATAATTTGAATTTCACAACTTTGTAGAATTTTTAATGTAATTTCTGAATATGCAAATTTTAATTATTAAAATTGAATTAATTATCAATAAGGAAAATTTAACTTTGACATTGGTTGACAAAAAAATGTTGACTTTGCAAAATAATTTGGGACGGAGGTAGTAAATTTTAGTAATAATTTGAAAAAAACTCTATTTAAGAAGCAGTGCTATCCGGAAAATTCTTTGGGGGTGTCCTCATTTAGGATTCTAAAGAATTTTAAATGATTGAGATTTTAATGGAATTGAATCGGATTCTATAGAATCTGCGAAATTGTACTGGAATTCCATGAAATTGGAATCCTCCCTCCGACTCGGATTTTGGGTGATTTTTCAATAAACCCTCATTCACTTCTACGAAGAAGGAAATGACCCCAGCCTTGTCGCCATTACTACGAAGTCAGGTCGGTGACGCCTACCAAGCCTTCTCAGCTTCTTGTCACGTATGTGGAGATGTGCAATCCAAGAAGGAAACGAACCGAAGCGGCAATATATATTCGACGAGTTGGAATTGTCGGACTGTAATCCTTGATTCCGGTGGCAGTGATTGAGCAAGCGAGCTCGTCAGATCCCTCCGTTGCATCTGCTTTGCTTTGCTTTGCTACTCTACGACAACTCCATTGAAATCCAGAGGTAATAATGGTTAGATTTTGGGATGTATTCCAAAGAGTTAAAAAATCCACGAAAATATTGAGGACACTGAGATTTTGCCTGATTCCATCACATTCCAGATTGAGGACAACATAATTCTAACAATCTATTAAAATCCTGCCGAATCCTAATTGAGGACACCCCCTTTGTTTCTCTAGAAAACAGAAATCCCAAAAACATTTTAATTGGGATAATGGGGCAAGTTGAATACTATTGGCCTTTATAATTCACAATGGGCCTCACCGGTCCAATATAATTGGGTAGAACAAATCAGTCCGAGTTTATTTAATTGGTTATCGGGCATGCCAGTCGACCCGTCAATGGTAGTATTATTCATAAATTGGGTCAAATCGAAGTAGCATTTAATCACTGGACATGTTTTAAGTGCCTATAAATTGGCCATCAGTTCTCTTGTAGTCACAATGCTATTTTCACTATACTGAATTAATGTTGTTTTATCGGTAACTTATTTTTCTACCAACAATGTTTACTTTATTCTTTTCCAAAATTAGAAAAAAAGACGTTTCTACTTTCTACTATCTCCAAAGTTGTAAAACTCACTTTAGTTATTCTTTGAAATTGAAGAAATAGAAAGCTTTGTGCTACATACAGTTAGGCTGATCCTGGGCGACCGGAGTTATATTGGTCTGGTCTTTCGCCCAAATTGAAATCCAAATGAGAATGATTATAATAAAACAATAACTAGTTTTGTACCCGACCGTTGCAGATAAGAACTGTATGATTGAAGTTTGTGCAGATCATAAGAAGAAATTAACTGAACCACAAGTTTATTACTTAAAAAGGAAAGTAACAAAGTTAGTAAACGATCATAAAAGAAAAGTTGAAAAAGTTTCAAAGGATGAAAGAAATATTGATTATCCTCATTTTACTATCAACCGTACCCGCAAGTTGACTATTCCAATTAATGAGTAGACTATTCTTAATATTTATTACGTAGTACATTTTTATGCATTTACACATTGCATTTGTTTCAAAACTATTATGTATTATCATTGTAATCAAATAATAATACATATAAATTTCATACTAAACTTTTTCTCCGTGCATCGCATAGGTGAGAATCTATTAACAATCAAAAGCCGAAGTATTACAATCATAACGTTCGAAACTACACTGGGGTGAGACAAAGAACAAAAACGACCTTTAAATGCGCTATTGATCGCTAACCCTGCAACAATGTAGACTAGTACCGCAGTGTGACTGCTCATGCTACTCAAAATAGATCCGGTTTGACCATGCACCGAAAAGGAACTATATATTATATTTCCCGGAACAATTTTTTATCCATAAAATGTTACACAGTTTTCTGTATTAGGTAAATATATGAAGTGCCCGAAAGAATGTACTCCATAACAATTATGTATACAATAGGCATCATAATTATTTCTGAATAATAGAAAACTATATGATGATAGTCATTAATGATTATGATTTTCATTAGGTAAAAAAAATAAAGGACATAAACATGTTTATTTAGAAAAATGTTTTTTTTATATGATGATAGTAATCTTTCATTAGTTAGTGTATACGTAATTAACAATTACCATATATGTATTCATATACAATTTTATACCGTGTTTTATATATATTGATAGAGTAAGTAAAAAAAAACGCATAGCTCTATACTACCTCTGTTCCAATTCAAGCTTCTCATTAAAAACAATGACACAATTATTTAAACAATAATTAAATAATATAGTTAGAGTATATTTTGAATTTGTTATGAGTATATAACATAATAAGGCTATTGATGATGATTGTGATGTTATAGGTGTATGATTATGATATTTGATGGTTAATTAATTTATTATTTAAAAATGCTAATTATTTTCTAAAACAGAAATAAGATGCTTTAGTAGTGGTAAAATATAATACAGGTGAAAACAACAAATATTTTACTATAAAAGGGCAAATCATTAACATATTACAGTTGGATTGAAGGAGCAATAATAGCATTTCCTTGATTAATTACACATTCACGACATCTACCCCCACCACCAACCTTCTCTCTCTATAATGACCGTTTCATGAATTTAACTCAATGGTCTCAAAATCATAATTAATTAATACGGAGTAAAACGTGATCAGGTTAAGAAGATATTTTTGTTACTAATCAAGTTGTTCATATCAGAAGATTAGAATGGCTTTCAAAAATATTCATCTTGCACTAGCCAAGGTATGGTATGAATATAAGCATTACATACTTGCAATCACAAATCAACATGTATGTGTTTATGAGTGTGTTTGTGTTTCTTTTCTTAATTTAAATAATTTTCTTGTGATTGGGCAGACTTTTGGGCTGGAAAGATTTATAAAGAGAGGTGGAAGAAATAAGCAGAAAGGTGAGAGTGGTAGTGTGAATCACAAGAGGAGGAGGCCTCCTTCATGGATGACGCCGGCAGTATCGCATGGATGCCATACGGTGGAGAGAAGATCGCCGGCCGCCACCGGCAGTCCGGAGGTGGTGGTGCAGCGGGAGCAGGGGGAGGAGGGGTGCGAGTGGTGGTTCTATGGAGTTTTTCATGCTCGGATTGGCGCTGGACTTACAGAGTATTTACAAGACCATTTGTTCAATGGCAAGCTTAAAGAGGTTACCGTATATATGTTTTGTGTACTCTCTAGTACTGATAGGGTGTTAGGACCTACTTCTTAAAACTTCCAAAGAGCAGAAACAGATTTTGGGTGCTTGATACACTTTTTTCACTGCTCCTTTGTCTCAAAACCAACGATCAAAAGTCATTTTTCTAATTTGGGAGTAGCACCATTTGCGGTCCTTCAAAATATCAACTCATTAGTACGTATGTTTCATAATCTTGGATACATAGACATATTCGTACATTATATTGAAGTGAACTAAAATTATATTATAATGTTATTCGTAGCTTAGTTTTTTTGGACGAAAAATCATATGAAATTGACCTGACCACATTTCCTAAAGGCGTGTCGGGCTTGAATTGTTGAATACTCCGTATATAATACGTAGTACAACCTTTGGAGTATAGATTTGCTTTATTTTTATCAATTAATTCCATTCATTCAAATTGGTCAGAATGCAAGATTCCATAAATGGGTACCCAGAATTCCTGAAAGTATCCTTTTGAGAACCGACGTGTTTTGATCTCCTTAAACTATTTAAAATTAACACAAGTTGAACTATTTGAATTCAATATACGTAGTACATTTTAAATGATTTTAATTATAATTATCGTAGGCATATCTTTTCAAATTTATATCTTCCAAACAAAAATAAGAGTTTCTTTCACTTCCCCCTCCTTCCCCTTTCTCATCTAACCTTCAAATCTCGCATTCCCTTTCCTTGCAAACTCCCAAACATACCCTCTAAAACAATTTGCTCCTCAAACAATGTGCAATATATTGTGTTTAATAATTAAGTTATAATAAGGATGTTTTTACATGGACTGTAATTTGCTGGTCTAGTCTGGTCTGGTCTGATAATGTCTAGTTTCTTTGTATTTTTATTACTATCCAAGTCTGGTCTGGGACGGATTATCAACTGCTCGAGTGGGGGAGGGATCATTAAGACATGTGGTTCCATTTAAAAGGTCCTCGGATGAGTACTCCAACAATAATTTGTTTTTTTTTTTCTTTGGTTTTCTTCTCTGAAGTCACAAATGAGGCGTAAGAGCAAGCAAACAATGAAGAAGGCACACCTCAGTGCAAGAGCGAAGATCATGATGGACGCAACAGCAGAGGAGGACCCCTGCAACCTCGGTTCAGCATCTGCGATTGTGATCAACGGGGAACGGCTTGTGATCGCGAACATGGGCGATTACAAAGCTGTCATCTGCAAAGATGGTGAGGCCTTCCCAGTTGGTGGTACAAGGCCGCGCTGGCAGAAGATGAACCACTGGTCCTGTAAATTGTTTCCAGGCATGAAATGAAATCCATCAGTTTTAATCTTTCCGGTAGTTTAGATCCTTCAAAACACCCTTAACTGATTTGATTTGTTGTTGGTTGTGTCAGGATCTAGAAAGCAGGCTGGTGCTTTCAAGGATTCTAGAAGCTCGCAAATTGCTGTCATGTCGGAAAGAATATATGGCACCACTGAACTTGTCATCCTCGCAAGTACTGGAGTGTGGGAGGTAAGTTTTAGTTAACAAAGATTACTTTGCTCAACCCAACATTTTATAAATCCATCCTTTTTCTGTTTGCACGACAAGGAAAGAAAGATGTCTGGGTTTATAAGAAATAATTCAATATCCCTTGTTTGGGGGATGCCAGAATTTTCTGCAAAACATAAAATGATGGTGGTTTTGTATTGTTTAAGGTTATGAAGGAGCAAGAGGCTGTGAACCTGATTAGACACATAGAGGACCCACAAAAAGCAGCTGAGTGTTTAGCAGAGGAAGCTTCAACCAGGATGAGCAGAAGCAAGATTGCTTGTTTGATCATTCGATTTGACTGAAGCTGCAAAACATCATTCCTAAAGAGGGAAAGTGTTTATCCAAGTCGTGCCATGGTACATGATGCGCGAGGCACCGGCTATCCCTTGCATGCGCAAACAGAATTTCTAGGGGATTTATTGTCCAAAACAACAACTAGTTTCAAGCAGAATCCGTTCCAGAATTGATTGCAATCAACATTATAAAAAAGCGCTTGGTCTATGACCAATTCGGAGCTACGCGGGATCTAGATGAAAATTGAAATTATGTTGACTACAACTTTGATAAAAATAAAATAAACAAATTCTCTCTACAAATATGAAACTCAGTCCAGTTTATGCCTCCAGTCTATTAGGAGTCAGATATATTCTTTATGCCATCAAATTCAATACAAACAAATAAAACCATAATTCTTTGTCTCCGTCCCTAAATAAACCACTTTCTTTTCTTGTCCATCCTAAAAAAGGAATGCATTATGCCATTATGTGGTTTATTGTCTTAGCTTCTGTGCCATGTCAAATTGGGCATTTATTTAGGGACAATGGGATATGTTGAACACCTACCCTTTGAGGCAAAATTTTTAGAATTCTCTTTTCTAAAAAAGTTTTTTTTTTAATCATCAAAATGACTTTTCATTAATATAGATCAAACATGCAAGACAAAATGCAGAAAGCTATTACAAATCCAATCGTAAGCCCTAGGAATAGACATAGAGTCAGTCACCCATACAAAGCAATCTGACTCGCTAGATACAAAACGGGCAAGAAGAAGTCTAAAATGATCAAAAATGAAGTATTGCCTATCAAAAGTTCTTCAAAACGAATGAGAAATCTTCGGTTGAGATTAAAAAAAATTATTAAAAAGGAATCTAAACCTCTAAAAGACCGTCACATGAGCCAAGGGAAGTCAAGGTGGTCGGCCGATTCTCCTGAAAGTTTTAGAGTATAGAACTCTGAAATACCTTTGATTCGATATATTATGACCCCTGTAACTCGTTACGGGCAAAAAATTATGACTTCTGGAAAATTAGCACTATCTAAACGTAAAAATGAGCGAAATTGGATTCATAATATTGATTGTTTTCCCAAATTTTAAAAGTAACATTTAATTCACTCATTTCTTACGTGACATGACTCAAAGATAGAGCAAACACAATCTATCTTACTCCTACGAGTGTCTACTCAATAGCCGTTTTTTTAGGTAAGAAATAACCATATTAAGTTGGATGAGCGGGTAACTATTAGAGTTACAAGGTAAGACAAAAGGTATCTTCCGAGGCAGCCAGTTGTGCAAAACCCCGTCGAATAAACAAGTATAAAAACAAGTTTATAATATATATGATTTATATATCAAATCTATAAATCTAGTAGTCTCATTGAAAGTACTCCCTTCGTCCCATTTAAAGGTTCTCGTCCACTATTCTCCAGTTAACATGAATTCTTCTTAATCTTTTACTTTATAGGCTAAAGGGTCAAATAGACCTTTGAACTAACTTAAAGTGTTCAATTAGCCCCTTATATAGGAGATTCTGCCCGGCCGTCGCCAATTGGGGCGTTTCCCGGTGGAATTTTTTGATGAAATTTTTTGAGCATTTTCTTCATTAAGTCTAGTTTACCCATACCAAATTGCAGCTAAAAATTCAACCGGGAAGACAGACAAATGAATTTTTAAAGATAGCTGCGCAGTTAAACAACACAGTACATTTTGGAAAATCATTTGACTGTCTTCCCGGTTGAATTTTAACTGAAATTTGATATGGGTAAACTAGACTTAATGAAGAAGATGCTCAAAAAATTTCATCAAAAAATTCCACCGAAAACCGCCCCAATTGGCGACGGCCGAGCAGAACCTCCTATATAAGGAGTTAATTGAACACTTTATGTTAGTTCAAGGGCCTATTTGACCGACCCCTTAGCTTACTTTATATATCCAACTTTTATCAAATTTAATTTTTCTTGATAAGTACTATAAAACTTTTAATGTAGTTTCTGAATATGTAAATTTTATTTACTAAAAATAACCTTATTACTGACAGGGATCAATTAATTTTATGATCATTCAAACATCATAAACCGGGTGGGAACCTTTAAGTGGGACGGAGGGAGTAGCATTTATTTAAATTACATATGAAACATTCAACTCGGGCATTGTCTAAACATAATCCACCATTTTTATTCTATATATAGTTGAGTTTCGACCTCTCCGAACCATTTTTTGGCTCTGCCACTGGAGAGAAGCAAGCGGTCTTTAGTGGGCATTCAACGACCGACTCCATTAAGCTCACTGCCTCCTTGTCCCAAAAGTTGAATGAAAGAGGGCTGGATTTTTCATCTCATGAATGGTTATTTCCACCTTTCATCCTCAAAATACAAGGGATGTTTGAGAAAAGTAGGATGTGGTGAAATTTGCATTTATTCACCCCGTGGGTTGGAGATGGTCTAAGCGGGAATTAGTCATGGTTTGACAAGGACTTTTACAGCAATGGCAGCAACATAACGCCCAGGCTATCTGTCAAGACTCAAATGCCTCCACACAATTCATCCCCCTATCTCAAAACAGAAAACAAAAGAATAACATTTCACCCTGCACATAATATATTTAAGGTTCCATTTACACGTACTTGTATACAAACTGGAAAGACATTGCTGCATGTCAACCCGAAGAAGTTTCAGTTTTCATGAAGTTGTGGAGTTGATTAAGTTGAAGAACATTCAATTAGAAAATAACTTACCTGAGTAAACCTTGGTTTTATGACCTTAACTTCTTTTCACTTGTCCTACTCCAGAAGTTGGTCAACAAAGAAAAATGACGAGCTGTAATACAGAGGTCTATGTATCAGTTTAATTTCATTTAAGTTTAAAGAATATACTTGATGGTGTAGCATTTGCACTCACACTTTTGAACAGCATTGTCAACTGCTGAGGTTTCATCTCGTGACATCAAATTCTTCAAAGTATAAACTGAAAGAAGAAATTCAAAGATCAGCTTTAAAGATATTATACGCACATGACCCCTTCTGCCCAATACACTTTGAATTCCAAATAAATGTCAACATTTTGGATATAGATATCTTTGAACATAATGATGTTCCCAAAAAGGAAACTGGGGAGCATGTTCCATTGCCTCTAGTTGCCATTCATTATTCTGAGCATGTATACCTTGTGAATTTGCAAACTTCTCTTGAGAACCATAAGAATATATTACTATTTGGTCAACATTGTCATACTCACTGACACTCAAGTGTGGTAGAAATCATAAACGGAACAGGTTCACTAGATTTTTTAGAGCAAAATGAACAATATTTTGGTCAGTGTCACATTACCTTCACTTGGTGAAGTTGTATTTGCTGCATGGCCATCCTGATGCTTTAGCCGATTAACACTTTTTTGGTCTGGTTCAAGATTTTTATCACATGCAGTGGGACAGTGTTTCTTCTTACCAAATTTCCATAGCCTCCAGAGGCCTCTTGGTGGCTCCTTAACTCGAGCTTTTGCTGAATCATCCTGAATGGTATACTCCCCATCAGTTCTAGCACTTTCCACAAGTGATTTCATTGGTTTTGCTAATGCCAAGTCTGAGACTGCCAAGGAGGTCATAGGAGCATAAGGAGCTTCATAAGGTTTTCCACCAGGGCCCGCTTTTGCAACTTTAGGTGTCTCATGTGCACATTTTTCTCCAACCTAAACACAGAACAAGAAAAACCTTAAAAATCTTGATAACGACACATTTTGAGAATTAGTTCTGTTTGTCAATGCTCTTCTCTGCAGTCAACATGCAGTGATTGAATCTTGCAAAGCAACAATGAAGTGAAAACCAGACCTAGAACTGTTATTGGGGCTATATTCTAGATTCATAAATGATTTTCCTCCCATTTGTCATGTACCAAGTACATGAATTCGCGCAAAGAAATAAATGAGTAAAACCCAGACCTAGTACTGTTGTTGAGATCATTCTAAACTCATCAAGAAATTTCTTCCCAACTGTTCACTAAACAATCCCAAGGTTCTGTTGAACTCGTCAATCAATCATCATTTACCCCAGTGCCGCAAAGGTTCCCACCTATGGTGGAGTAGGGGGGGTCGGATGTACGCAGTCTTACCTCTGTACTAAAGCACAAAGAGCCTGTTTCCGGATGACTCATAATGAAAATCGCGTCCAAAATCGCATGGACTGACTGTTGCTTCATAACAAAGAAGCGCAGATAGTTTGGTGAGCCATTTTGCTTTATTCCATCATATTCTCAAGCCAAAAAATAATGAATCTTTGGCTCCATTGCAAATGATGGAAAATTCTGTTGAACTCGTCAGAGTGAATAAAATGTATAGACAAGTGAGACTAGCTTCCTTTAAATGGGTATATGTGTACTACATCTGCGAGAGTTCCAAGTTCTAGCCTCAGCGATAAATTTTCCTTATAATACGGCTGAAAACATAGATCCTACAGTTGATAAGTTTCTAGGGTTAATATGACAAGTTACTATACGAACTGTGAATATCACCAGATCACCTAATGGAAGCTACATGAATTATATTTGTCCATTTATGTAGTTTAGTATTCTAGACTTGCAAGTGCATAAATGTAATTCAGTACTAACCAAGGATTAGTGTGCACATTTGTCTAAAAAGTAAAAGCACATTTGTCTGCTTAAAGAAACCATTGTGAAAAGACATTTGAGAATTTAAGTTAACACCTTTGAGGTCAAAACTAATTAGATCATAAACTAAATATAGAGGATATCCTATAAAAACAATCAAAATGCTTATTGGAAAAGAATATATAATGAAAAACTTAATGTCATGATCTACTTTATTATGCCACCGTGAAAAGATTTTTTTAGTGATCTATGGTACATATAGTAATGATATTCCACTTTTTAGTCCCAAATATTAATATGCATAAGTATAGTCCCTCAAATACTACCTCCGGTTTTTTTTAATCTTCACAGTTTGACTTCACACAAAATAAGGAAAGAAATTTGACTTTACTGTAGAGTACACTGTTGAGGCACTGTTTGACACTGTTTGGCACTGTAGAGACACTGTTTGGCACTGTTGAGACACTGTTGTTTGGCACTGTTTTGATGTAGATTTCTTTGCCAAAAAAGGAAATAAGGAAGTGTGAAGTTTATTTTAGACCGTCCCAAAAAGGAAAGTGTGAAGTTTATTAAAAACCGGAGGGAGTATTAAAACTTGATTTTAGAAGTCCAAAACTGATACTTGGTTATAAAAGTTGAATACCACACAAGATTAAATCTGAAACCCCGTTCAATGAAAAACAAACATAGAATATCCAGGACTCATACGTCACACGCACAGGCATATATAAAAGAAATGAACTGATACCATTCCAGTTTCCATGCATTTCAAGTGATTCAAGTTTGCCACAAAATATTTAGAGCCGAAAAGCATTGACTAGTTCAAGGACAATTCCCATAGCCAAATATATTTTACCAGGATTACCTCACATGAGTTCAGTTGTCCCTGATCCAAGCCAGGAATAGGATCACTGACAAATCCCACAAAAGGTGAAGGAGGTGCATCAGTCGGCACTGCATGCTCAAATACTACTGAAATTTTCTCCCCTAAGTGGCCATGACTGTAACACTGTTGGCTAAGTACTCTACATTCCTCTCCTGATGCATGGGCAACAGGTAAGGATGAGATTTCACATTCAAGCATTACTACGGCCTTCTCAACAATGTTTTCATCACCTGCACTGTCACATGGAGCTTTCTCACCATTCACCATTGATTTCACATTTGCAGAATTTATTGGAGGTCCTGAAACATTCATATTATCTGAAAGCCCTTTTGGGGATCTGATCTTCAGTTCAGGAAGAGTTGCAGCCTGTGTTGCATCAAGGTCTATGACTTCGGATATTTTGGTGTTCTCAGGTTCTTTGGATTTCCTCAGTCTTATCAATGTTTCAGAACTATGTGCCTTGACTGATGCAACAGGCCAATTTACAGTCTTTGGCTCAGATAACTTTCTAACCCTTGTCGTGGATGCTTTTGAATTTGGTGTCACAATATTACTGCTTTTCTTATTGGGATCAGACCATGACGATGCTGATTTTGTTAACCTGTTATTGTTCGACTGCCCATCACTAAATTTATGTGACTTAGAATCCTTCGGAGAAATAGTTGATACGAGAGGATTTCTTATTTTGGATCTCTGTAACGGTGATGATGATCCTGGTTCTAAATCACTGAACTTTGACCCTCTGATGGGGGATGGCGATGGGTTTATTGGCTGCTGTCTTCTCTGTGATAGTGGTACCACTAAATTGGCAGAAGTGTAGCTGCCTCTTGCTGCAATTCTCTTGTGCCTTTCCAGATTTAAAGCTTCTAAGCATTTAATATCTGCCTCTTCCTGAAAAAATGGTACATCTTTGAACTTGTGGGGAAGATGTGTCATCAAAGAAGCATGGATAGAACATTGAAAGCATGCGGAAATAACGCCTGATCTATATATTGACTTGTGAGTTGAAAGTTCCTTCTAAATCTAGCCATGTCAGTATCTCACTGACTCTCACTAATCTTCAAAGTATAATATATTGATCAACTGTTAAGTTTAAGAAGCAGAAGCCATATTATACATTATGTATATGAAGATTCAAGTAATGTACCTTTTCCATTTTCATCTTCTGGGTATCTTCCTTAAAGGCTCTTAATCTCTCTGCATGAACTCGTGCATAATGTACAGGACTTGTCATTGATAGCTTTTCTCTTCTTATGGGTCCTACAGTGTTTTTATTATCTAAATCAGCTTTTCCTCTCTGGTCCTTGTCCATCTTTGTATTTACTTCTTTCACAATACTGGAGGCTTTCTTTTTTCCTTTTTCCTGTGAAATGTTATCTTTAACATGAGCTTTCATTTCATAGTCCAAAGTGGGGTTGTACCTTCTGCAATTTTCTTCTGACACACATTTAGGAATTAGGTCTAGATTACTTCTCTTATAATTGACTTGGCTTCTAACTCCAATAAAATTGCTTTCTGTATTTCTAATAGCTGTAGGAAGTTCACAGTCACAATGAGTGATGATTTCTGGTACAGCACCATTGAATAGCATTGACCTAACAGGTACTATAAAAGATTCATCAGCCATATATTGTGAAGAAGCTTTATCCAGTATATTAGTCACACTCTGAAGTCCCTTTTCAGCAAGTGTATTTATAGAATTTCTTGACCCTGAGAAGTGTTCCCAACCAGCCAACGTAGAATCATGACTCACAGTTTCGGCATAGACCTTTCCCCCATTTGTCTCAGCATACTGAAGGTCAATTTGATCATCGTGTCCCAAGATGTTGCCGCACTCCCTGATAGAATGTAAAACACCATCACTTGATCCACTGGGGATGCAGCAAGACATGTCTATACTAACTCTATGAATGACATTATCCCTACTATCCTGCAAATCATCTGCACCTTTCCCACCAAGAGTTGTATGATCATCACCTGTAGGATCTTTCTGTATCCTTACATATTTTCCCTTTGCAGGCATGTGACCCTTTTCAGTATAATTATCTTCACTTGATTCTCTAAATAGTATGTTTTGAAATGCTAGCCAGTATCCACCATCAATTTCAGGTTTATTGACTTCCCTTTCATCATTTGAATTTGGATTGCTAACTTTTGCTTTAAATGACCGGGGAGCTTCAATCTTCACTTCATTGTTGCTACATTTCTTATCTGTCAATTGTATTTTTGGTCCATTTCTCTGCATGACACCCACTTGAGCGTCTTCCACACCGTAAGGAGGATAAAGAGGGTTATTCTGTAAATAAGTGTGATGATATGGCAGTCGTTGGACATAATAAGGCTGCAAAGGAGGTGGGGCAGAAGACGGTGAATACATTGACCAGATAGGAAACTGGCCTTGAGGGTTTTCATGTTGACCTTTTGGCAGATGTGCATCCATAGGAACCCTTTGACCTGAATAGGTAAATGCAAAAAAACTTGATAGGTTTTTTAAAGTTGTCACTTCTTTGATGAGCACATTCAAATTGGTATACCTTATTTCCTACAACGTATTATTATTTCATTGCTTCTCGTTATTCTTTTATTTTTAATACCCTTGCCACTTGAGGAAATAAGACGATGATTTCTTCATGTCCCTATCATATCATGTCTTCTTTAATATTCAATAAAACTATGCAATGGATTACTTCAAAAAAGGACTTGCAGAGAGCTTGGAAATAAGACAATGATTTCTTTGGATTGCTTGTGCATCCAACGGATCGTTTTGCCAGTTTCAACAATTCCATAGGTGGAAAAAATAACAAGTAATTTATGGTCAGCATGTAAGCCATTTTAATAGTTTGCAACATGAATGTCATTGAGTATAATTTTATCTTCACATGTCATAAGTCATTAACACATGATTTCTTAGAAATGCCTTCTTTGGGTGCACTTTAGTTGGCACTACACATATATTGGCAGCTAAGAACCATGTTAATATCTCTTACGTGTACCCCCACTTGTAGAGTTGCAGTCAGTGGGGGCAAAGTATCTAGCATATAATAACTGATACTCAAGATGGACTACAGATTCACCAAGAGGGGTCAAATGACTTTGCTTTCTTACCTGCAATGCAGTCTGTGTTTAGCTTCTCATTACTGTATGAAGCCTTCTTGTCAAATAAATCTGTTTGGCCTGCCACTACTTCTGCTGCTCCAGTTTCAAGGGGTTGTCCAAACTCATGTTTTTTCTTCCAGAGTTCCATGAATCTGAAGCAGGCATCCCTGAAACACAATTCTCATATAATTTAAAATGAGAGAAAGAAACTTGAGTGAGACAGGCCGAGTGAACTAGAAAGCTAAGATGAGAAATCATCAAACTCATTTCTCCATCTTGTTCAAGTGATAATCATGTTCTTCTTTTTCAGCCATTCAACACAACTATGAGTTTTTGAAAATTATTACCTCAAACGTGAAGCTCCAAAGCATTTACCAAATGATAGAAGGAAAGGCATGTCATCGAAATGAAAACCAGCAGCTGCAGCACGTTCAAAGGCCATGCACTGTTCTTTTTCCAGCACTGATTTGCGCGACTGTAAGATTTTCAATATCTGTACTCTAACAGACATGCCAATAAGAAATTAGAGCTCTTGATAGTAAATATATCAAATTATGTGTTAGAAGAACCTCAAAAGCGGGTGAGTATACTACAATTATTTTTTGGATACTTATTCCCAAGGTAAAGAAAATAGTCTATTCCACATATAAGATATAAAACCAAAGAATAAGCCTAATTCATGGGGTGCTAATTCGTCCTCTTTATCACCCATTGTCTTCTGTCTGTCGCCCATCACCGCACCTTCTTTATGTTCAGCTCTGCCACGGTGCCAACTCATGCACGAGTAGTTTCTCTCAGAAGTTCAAACCAATCCCAAAGAAGTAGGTAGGTATGATAATATGATTTGTGTTCTTGTTCCAATGTTGCTTAATTAAATTAATTATCCATATGTTTTGCCACTTGTTATGTATGATCCCGCTTTCCACACCACCACAACCAAGTTTTCTGTGTTCGCTTTTGGATAAACATCTACTAGGATATGCACACATAGAGAATAGGAATACATTAACGAAGAGAAAACAGAAAACAGAGGTGAAACTTGCATGCCAAACGATATCCAACCAATGATGAAAATACAGTATCCATTTACCTAAATGGCTAAATCTAAATGAAATCCATATATCATGCCGATTAATGGCATTGAGCAGTCCAAAATCATTGATTTCTCCCTACGTGTCCAGTGTTGGGGTGAGGAATGAGGTCAACAATATCTGCCCTTCTGTTGAATGTACTGATAGTAAAAATCTAATTATCATACAAAAGTCAAGTCCATTAAAGTTTAAGCGTAAATAAAGGAAGATTGGATGGACTAATATTGTAAGAAGAAAATTGTATACGAAGCTGGAATCAGATTCCGGCAACGGAAGAAAAACAGTGACATTTCCATTCTACGTGTTATCACAACCGAAGGCACTATAGCCATCGTGCTAAAAACTCAGTTAATTGAAATTCACAACAATCCTGATTCAGTCTCCTTTCTCGGGTATAGACTATTACACCAACCAGATCTACAACATGCCAATTTGTTAAGCACTCTCAAGTTACCTTATTTATTTACAGGTAAGAAAAATAAATTGCTATAACCAATTTCACAAATCCAAGGAACAATGCGAAAACTTGAGCAATAAATGAATCAGGAGAAGATAGATATACCTGCAATTCCCATCTTGTGAAAATGAACCACTTGCTTGTGGTATATGCTCCTCAGGCTGTATAAAAAATAGAAAATAAAAGCCAAATGAGTATATTAGAAAAGTGGAAAATACATGCACCATAAAGAGGGAACATAAGCCAAATACTTACCTTGTAAAGGACAACAGCTTTATTACCATTAGAAACTACCTCGGACTTGCTACCTGTCAAAAGTTTTGGGTGTGACCGTGTGAGAAGGTTTTACTGAGTACTTATTGACCAGAAGCAGCCAACAATCTAAATGGATTGAGTGGACAAAGGCATTGGCATTCTAAATGAACATAATAAACAACAGTCTAACTGGATTGCACTTATAATGAAACAACAACCACAACATCCTAAAGATCATGAAACATGAATATGAAATTGAACCAGATTTAAGACAGAAAGTGTGAAGTACACACTGTCATACTGGACTCAAGAAGGCTATAATTGGATAACAGCTCACTTTCTACAGTAGGGAAATAAGGAAATCCTACTATCAACTACATTATACTAAAGTTAAGAATTTATTTGTTTCTCATGTATTACCATCACAGTCCCTGAATGCCTTTGTTTGCTGATCCTCAACCTGTCAAAGAAACAGTATATATGAATGGAGTTATACACTGTAACCTACTAACCTGGATAAGAGTTTACAATTTGACTTTAAATACTTTACAAGGCAATGTTGAATGTCATTTTTCCCTTGAATGGCAATTGTTTCCTCAATCTGTATGATCTCAGATTCTATAATGTACACTCTTTCTAGGATATCTGGGGTGTTCACAAAACGCACAAACCTATACAGTGCAACAAATGTCAAGCCCAAACAGTCAATAATTCTGAAAATATTCACCAACTGCATTGATTATGCTGTGACAGTGATAAGAAATGCAGTTATCACGGCAGTGTCATGATAAATGAGTATTAACTTCAGAGTGAGCTGCCTGAAATTTGAAAACATACTCCCTTCTGGAATTGTTTTTTTTTTTTTCAATTAATCTGGAACATCCAAATTCCCAAAAAGGGAATGTATGTCATCCATAAAGCAAAAGCATAACTATATACAATACTTGGTGCCAGTTAATGGAATGTATTTATCTGAAACCATATGCACCGACCACAGCTTTGCATTGTGACTTTGACATTTTGCATCTCATTATTTGAAACATACATCAGACACACAATGAAACATTTAAACCAGTAAAGCAACAAATGTATAATTCTTGTCATACTTACTCTTTGAAAGAATACTCATGCTTTGAAGACAGAAAATACTGGAATCCACTACTAATTACCCTATCTCCCTGGTTGTTAATGAACATCAATAACCAGAAGTAGCTTATGCGCCTAATACCAATATAAAACCACCACATCTACATGACTACATACAAACCTTTCCACAGTGCCCTTTGTAAACCATGATATCATACTCTGAGACTGTGGTGGCTCAAGAATGATTGAGTAACCACCCTTTGCAATTTTTTCCTGAGCAGACTTCATGTGAGCAAGAAAAGGATTTAACAGGCCGGAAGCAATCTTCTCTTTCTTCCCATTGGCTATGATAATCAAATCACATCTGACATTCAGAAGTCAAACATTCTTCAGTAATTAGATCAACTCAGCAATTGATCTGCCTGAGCTTTTTTACAGCCAAAATCTATTTTCATCAGAGTTTGTGCAAAGCAGCCAAAATCCAAAAACATTTTTACTACATCCCCCACTGAACAGTGACATGCATGTCCATAATAAAATAAGACCATCGACATTCATAGAACTTCGGGAGTAGAGGGTAGAGCAGAAAAGTAGCTAGAGATTCAAAGAAACAAAACAAATTACCAATTTCGCAGGCAATCAGCAAATTTACCTTGTCCGAGTAGGAGTTAGACGGAAAACTACCGAGTCCAGCTGAGTGCTCGATTTCATTGTTGAGTCAAGCTGGTGGTCCGAGTTGAATTACGTCAGCACCTCTTCAATGCGGACGCACAGCCTATAAAGGACTGAGCTTGCAAATCTTCGAGAGATGATTTAAACACGATAAAGGACCAGCTTAACTGAATAAGGTACGATACTACTCAGTCAGATTCCTGGTTGTTGATGTATTACAAACGTTTGGAAGCAAATGCTCGTTTGAGAGTTAGTTCAGATGTAACAAAGCACAGAGATGTACAAAATGCTCATACGGCGGCAGTGAGGAAGGGAATTAGCTTTCACTGAATTTTAGAAAGAGAAATGGGTGACTCGGCGGAGAATTATATGTACGAGTGGAGAGAGAGTGGAAGAGGGATAGTGATACCAGTCAGTGAATAGCCGTTGAATTCAGAAAAGAGGTGAAAATGCGTAGTAACAAAAAGCCTTCACTTGAGTTATTTATCTTTTGCAGCCGGCCTGATTATTTTTTTGTACAAAAATGATAATTACGTAGTATTTTTTTTTTTTTTTTTTTGTAGTAGCTTTCACTCAAATATATTCCCGGCTACCAATATACTTCCTCCGTCCCGATTTGAGTTGCAAACTTTGACCGGCACAAGGATTAAGGAATGACAATAAATGATGCTTGCTTTTACACTTTTGCTCTTCATCCTAAAAGTAGATGTCTTTAGATTAATGGGGAAAAAGTAAAAATAAAGATAAATTTGTCACTTCCTTTTATTTACATACCTAAAATGGAAAGTGGAAAACCATTTTGGGACAACCAAAGTAGGAAATTTTGCGAAACAAATTGGGACGGAGGGAGTGGCTTTTACCCTAGCGAGAGCTGAGGGTCGGCTTCTTCGCCGTTCCGCTTGAGGCGCTGATCGATTGCAGACTAACCACGACGAAGGGCGAGAATCGGAGCAGAGCGTTGAGGCGTGATGGAGGACACAGAGGACGGAGCGCACAGAGAGGCTCGCGACCAAGATGCTGAACAAGTTGGTGAGATTACTGCTAAATATGGAGGCCTGTGAATTGGGGGTGTGGAGGACGAATTGCTGATTGAAGATGAAGAGGAAGTGGACGTGACAGCGGGGGCAGCGAAGGCGAAGGAATTTCCGGTAGTAGGGAAGATCCTCACAGACAAAGTTATCCGATTTCCGTTTTTCCGAGGGTTCATGGCCGATTTATGGCGCCCTGGTAAAGGTATTGCTATACAAGAGCTTGGAGAACGGAGGTATATGTTTAAGTTTTTTCATTCTGTTGATATGAATCGAGTCCTGGAAAATGGACCTTGGTTGTTTCATCAAAGTTTGATTGTGCTAAAAGTTGTTAAACCGGGTGATATCCCGACTAAAATTGTGACACCGCACCCGAATGTCCTTGAAAATTTGATCTTAAAATTCAAAGTTTATGTATTGGATTTCTGATTCCCAAACAATTGTAAAACGATTAATGTTTTACGTAATTCATGATCGATTATTATACCGCTCGAACTCGTACATTAGTGTTGGGCTTGCGAATACTCGTTTGGGCCTTATTAATAAATAAAAGACCCTAGCGTTATCTAAATAGCTATACATAACGTTTCAAGGCAAGTTGAGGAAGGGCGGGCAGCCCAGATATTATTTTGGGCTCAACCCGCTAAAATAGCAAAATATTTGAGGACGGCGTTGTAGGCCCACTCGGGGGCGACCCACACGGCTAGTGGCCCAATAATATGGATGGCAAATGTCAAAATAAGTGCTAGGATGAGTTGAGATGAACACAAATGCCTATGATCCCATCTTTGACATTTTTGAGCTAAATAATGGGAGTAGGATTTTCCTTCTATAATGTTCATCAAGTAAATTATTGAGATGAGCCTACACATATTGGAGATCAATAATGTGATGTAGGAAGTTGACTTGTTCTAAATAAATTAGGATGAGTACAAAAGACATATTTGACAAAAGATAAAACAATAGGACCCATCTTTCCATTTTTGGGAGTATTAGTAGATATTTTGGACCCCAAAATAATTGGGATCAATGGGGAAACACCCCACATGATTTTAGTACCTGCAAGACAAGAAAAATAAGTGAGGAGACTTACCTTGGCCGCACAAGCTGGAGGAGAGCTGCACAAGACTTGATTGGAATCAAACTTGAGACCCACCTTGTCAATTTCCGCACAAATCATGGGTGTGGTTTGTCTCCCTCCTTAAAGGGAGTTGTACTCGTCCAAATGAGGTGTATAAGGTGTCCTTGGATAGCCTTTGAAGTCTATTTTCATATTTGAGTGGCCTCTGTTCGAGAGGAGAGAGTTATCTTACAAAAATCGAGCTGGAGTGAGCTGTGGTCTGTAAACTCGAGCTGTGAGAGTGCTGATACTGTTGGATTGATATCTCAAGCTATACTAATCCAATTAAGGCGTGTGAGATACCACCAGAAAGCTCTCAAGACGAGGAATCCGTGAAGGTCTGGTTTGCAGCAATCGGAGTAGTGGAAGGCTTCCAAACCGTCCGATCAAAACACAACCTCGCAGAAACGGATCTACTCTTCTAAAGTGAGTTGTTAACCCCAAAACCTTTCCTTTCATTTTCCAAATGATATGAACGATTGGTGGAACTATTGTACACTAATCCAAGTGTATAATATGTCCTTGTAAAGTTATTTTATTGATGTAAAGGTTAGATACTAACCTAGAGCAAATCTTGGAAAACTAGGAAACGAGTTAGCCGGAAAACACCCATTCTAGGGGCTGTTTCGTATCAACGATTAGGGGTTGAAATAGCAACTTGAGGAGGCTGTTTAACACCCATTTTCAAGCAAGGAACCAGTTCTCATCTTCCTTGGCCGTGGCTTTGGTCATTGGATTGAGAAGGAAAGTTTTAAAGCTCATTTGAGGTGAGGATCGACATCTAGTTGCTTACAACTTGTAGGTTAAGCATAAGATTACCTAAATGCCAAAATAATGTTTTCCATGGATTATGATGATAATTTATTGATGGAATATTGATCTATTTTCCAAAGAATGAAATGGGAAATGATTTGGTAAAGTATTGATAAAAATGGAGTTAAATGAACTATTGTGTGAAATGGGCATTTTACTCATGTGTGAATTGTGTAGATACATAAATGATTATTTATGTATTACATTGAATGATTAAGTTGCTACTACATATCTCTAAATATGTAGGGTTTTACAAATGGAATATATGATGGATAAGAATAATCTTAATAGTATTGAAATACTAGTTAATGATTGTGGTAATTGTTAAGGGAATTGAATCTAAGGATTTGATTATAATTGATGTACTTGATTGTGACGCAAGTGACAAATTTGATGTAATGTGATGCTAAGACCATGGTTGGGCAGTCCGTAGGGATGTCCCAAAATAGATTATTGATATTACAATTCTAGGCATAGTGAGTGCTTAGGAATTGGGGTCTATGCCAATGTAAGGAGATGTACTTGAGCTCGTGCTCATAGAATTGCATTGGGTAGACATGATGAGGTGATTGTTGTGCATGGTGATGTAGTTGAGTTGGACTCAAGAAATGCACGGTGGAGTAGTTAGCTTATGTTAATTAAGTTGCATGGTGATGTAGTCGAGTTGGACTCGAGAAATGCACGGTGGAGTAGTTAGCTTATGTTAATTAAGGTGCATGGTGATCTAGTCGAGTTGGACTCGAGAATGCAAACATATGTGTTAGGGTTGAACCCTATGTATTGTTGTGACTAGGGGTCACGGGATTTTGGGGTATGTTTGATAAACAAACCTTGGGCCTACGGGCCGACTACTTGACTTTATATATAAAGTAAGTATATTTTTAAAAAGGGGTAACTTGGGGTTACGGCCTAGATTATACTATCACCCTATTTGAGGGTCTTGTGTTTGAAATACTTGTTGTATATCTATTAGATGCCATCCACACCAGCACTTTATAGCCCTATAGAGTGCTGACCCCTTCGGGGGCGTCCCACCACCATTTTTCAGGTTGAGGCTAGAGCTTGCTTCCTGTGCTCGTTGCTCGAGAGATCATCTAGGAGCGAAGACTTGGTTCGTGCTTCCTCCATTCGGATTTTAAACATTAATAAACATGCTCATGGATATTTTACTATGGAGCCTGCGTGCTCATGAATAGCCCGGTGTGGCCTTTTTGTTTTAAACAATGTTTTCCGCTGCATTATGAATTACTTATTATGTTTGTTTATGGATGGCTTACGTGTGAATGATATTCGAGACGCCTTGTATAATATGAATGTGTTGGACTGCGGTTGACTATTCGTATTGTACGGCGGGTTGTTGACGTGTCCGGGGAGGTCCGGGGCGTGACAATTAAGTTGGTATCAGAGCCTTAGTCCATAAACTTCATAACGAAGTCTCAAAATTCCTTTTTTCAAAATGATTTTGAAAACCATGAGCATAGAAAATGTTTTGTACTTAAGAACTTTTGGTGTTTGAGTTGCAAGGTCTCTAATTGTTAAGATGGCGCCCTTAACGATTGGTATGGCGGTGACTTGGCCCAAGAGATGTCTTAAGTGCCTATCTGTCAGTTGACATTTGAAACGAGTCTAATGACTCATTCTAATTATTTCTTTCAGCGATGGAGGGTGATGGTGGTATTATGAATAGGGAGAACTCGGAAGGGCTTGCACCGGGTGGAACCGGGCATGCCAACCGAGAAAAGCCCTTAGGACCAAAGGTGCATGAAATTCTTGAAGCTCAAATCGTGAGTGGTGGTCATGTTAAGACCAAGGAAGAATCACCTTGTTATGGCAAAACTGAACCACTCAAGGCTTCGGGTGACGAAAGAGATGATTTGAGTGATGAGGACCTTGATAATGCACCCATTGAACAAATGGGCATGGTCATAAATTGGCTTCAACGTGAACGTGCTAGGCTTATACAAAAACGCCAAGCTAGGCAAGCTAATGACGCACCATTAGGAAGGAAAAGAAAATGGGGAGACCACGACCCCCAAGGACATTCTAGGAGGACAAATGTTGAGGGTGACAAAACCTTCGGGGCACACACATTATCGCTTGGGAGGAGTCGAGGCTCGGGTGGCCAGAGCTCGAGGTCAAAAGGTTCGAGAGTACCTAAGTGCACAAATTGTAAGAAGCACCACCCGGGTAAGTGTTGGGACCCTCCTAGGTGCTACCGATGCAGAGAGATCGGGCACACGAATGCGAATTGCCCACAACTTGTACCCGACCAAACTTTGGGCTCAAGTAGTACGACTATAGGCATACGGAGTCAAGCCGGGGCCTCTCAAGCAAGTAAGGAACATGGCGGAGCAAGTGTGAGCAACGCGCCGTCTGTGAATCAAGGGAGAACTCACGCTAGAGTCCATGCGATGGCGGAGGCGGATGCTCAAGCTAACCCGGATTCCGTTGCAGGTATCGCCTCTCGTATACTAGTGTTTTATCCTTAATTAGTCCATAAATTGAGGTCACTAATTGTTAGGATCAATGCACGAAGCTTTAGGGTCGAACCAGGAAGATTTCGGACCATTTCGGGCTGTTTTCGCCCAAGCACGGTCGTGCCTAAGGTAGGCACGATAGTGCCTACAAGGCAGTAGGTACCTGCGCATTTCCCCGACCCAGGCACGGTCGTGCCTAAGGCACGCACGATCGTGCCTGCAAGGCAGTGTCTGCCAGTGAATTTTCCCGACCCAGGCACGATCGTGCCTAAGGCAGGCACGATCGTGTCTCCAAGGCAGTAGCGCCCAGGGTCTTTTTCCAAGCCAGGCACGATCGTGCCTACCCCAGGCACGCCGTGCCTGGCACCCAGATTGCCGAGATGCGATTTTTCGCACCGTTTTGCGACGTTAAGACCTTTTCTTGATCCCTAACATGCGTGTGAACATTGTAACCTTCTATAAATGAGTAGGGAGGGTAGGAGAAATGTCTTACATGGTTCATGAATGTAGGGATACTAAAGATTAATGGGAAGGATGCGCGAATCCTTATCGATACCGGGGCGCAACGTTCATTTGTGAATGAAGCGTTCGCCAAGAGGTTGGGAGTGCAATCCGCACCATTGATGCAAACCTTAGTGGTATCAACACCACTAGGGGATGACGTGGAAAGAACTTGTTACTATCCATCTTGTAGGGTGGAGGTTAATGGTCAAACCTTGACGTGTGACTTCGTACCGCTGAGCATGATTGAATTCGATGCAATCCTAGGGATGGATTGGCTAGAAAGGAACCATGCTAGGGTAGATTGCTACAAGAAGGTTCTTGAACTCGAAGGCAATGATGGGGAGATCCTACGCTTCGAGGGCGATCGAGGGAGATCAAATAGCTGTATCATATCCGCTGTGAGAGCGAGAAGTATGATGAGAAAGGGATGCCACGCATATCTAGCATACGTGGTTGACAAAACCAAAGAAGAAACGAACATCGATGATGTGAGGGTGGTTTGTAAGTATCCGGATGTCTTCCCTAAAGACCTACCGGGGCTTCCACCTGATAGAGAGATTGAATTTGTGATCGAGGTCGAGCCTGGTACCAAATCAATCTCCATACCGCCATACCGTATGGCACCCGCTGAACTTAACGAGTTGAAAACCCAATTGCGAGAGCTATTAGATAATGGTTTCATTGGACCAAGCCACTTCCGTGGGGAGCACCAGTCCTTTTTATGAAAAAGAAGGATGGGACACTTCGAATGTATATTGACTATCGTCAACCGAACAAGGTCACAATCAAGAATAGGTATCCTTTGCCTAGAATTTATGACTTGTTTGATCAACTACGAGAAGCAACTTTATGCCAAATTTTCCAAATGTGAATTTTGGCTAAAGGAAATTGGCTTTCTCGGGCATGTGGTTTCGGGATTGGGAATTGCCGTTGATAATAAGAAGATAGAGGCCATTACCGAATGGGAGAGACCAAAGGATGTCAAGGAAATTCGTAGTTTCCTTGGATTGGCAGGCTACTACAAAAAGTTCGTGGAGAAGTTCTCTGTTTTGGCATCACCATTGACGAAGCTCACTCGTAAAGGAGCTAAGTTTGTATGGGATGACAAATGCGAGAAAGGGTTCATGGAACTAAAGAAGAGATTGACCGAGGCACCGGTACTTGCATTACCCAAACAGGGTGTGGGGTACGATGTCTATAGCGATGCGAGCATCCAAGGGCTTGGATGCGTACTGAAGTAGAATGGGAGGGTAATCGCCTATGCCTCACGACAGCTGAAGGAGCATGAGGTGAATTATCCTACCCATGATCTGGAGGTGGGAGCAGTAGTGGTTGCACTGAAGGTTTGGAGACATTATCTCTACGGAGAGACATGTCACATATATACTGATCATAAGAGCTTGAAGTACGTGTTTACTCAGAAAGAGTTAAACATGAGACAGAGACGGTGGATGGAGTTGATAAAGGACTACCATCTAGTTATTGAGTACCATCCAGGTAAGGCAAACGTTGTAGCAGATGCCCTCAGTCGAAAGAGTTCGTCTGGGGCATTGTTGACTAGTTTGAGGGCACTGAGGGCCCAATTGGATGTATCTAGCGACAGTGCCTTATTGGCACGATGCGAAGTGAGACCGACCTTACTTGAGGAGATCAAGAAGGGTCAAGGGACGGACACAGAACTTATGAAGGTCCAGGAACGCATGCAAGCGGGACCGGTGGAGGATTTCAGGGAAAGAGATGATGGTCTCTTGTTATTTCGTGACCGAGTGTGTGTACCGTCAGATGATGAGCTCCGAAAGTCCATCTTAGAGGAGGCTCATTCATCGGCTTATGCCATGCACCCGGGGGGGCACGAAAATGTACCGTGATTTGAAAGAAAGTTACCGGTGGTCTGGAATGAAGAGGGAAATAGCCGAGTACGTCAGTCGATTCCTTACTTGTCAACAAGTTAAGGCAGAACATCAGCATCCAGCAGGCTTATTTCAACCACTCTCCATCCCTGAATGGAAGTGGGAGCACGTGACTATGGATTTCGTGGTAGGCTTACCACGTACTATCAGGAACTATGACGCGGTTTGGGTTGTTGTTGATAGGCTCACAAAGAGTGCACACTTTTTACCTATCAACACTACCTACTCACTCGAGAGGTTAGCCAAATTGTATACGGACGAGATCGTGAGGTTACATGGTGTTCCAGTGACCATTGTATCCGATAGAGACCCACGATTCACGTCACATTTTTGGCCAAAATTTCAAGAGTCTATGGGAACGAGGTTGAAGTTCAGTACTGCTTTCCACCCACAGACAGATGGGCAGTTTGAAAGAGTCATACAGATCTTAGAAGACATGCTGAGGGCTTGTGCGTTGGAGTTCCAAGAAAGTTGGGACAACCACTTAGCACTTGTGGAATTTGCCTATAACAACAGTTATCAGGCAAGCATCGGTATGCCTCCATACGAGGCATTGTATGGGAGGAGGTGTCGTACACCGTTATGCTGGGACGAGGTTGGCATGGCCAAACTCGAGGGTACTGAGTTGGTTGAGGTCACCAAATCAAAGGTGAAGTTGATCCGAGAGAGACTCAAAGCGGCTCAGGATAGACAAAAGAGTTATGCAGATAAGCGTCGAAGAACCTTAGAGTTTAAGGTTGATGACGAGGTATTCTTGAAAGTTTCCCCTTGGAAAGGGATCATTCAATTCCAAACCCGAGGAAAACTTAACCCACGATATATAGGTCCAGTCAGAATTATAGAGAGGATTGGGCCCGTAGCATATTGTCTACAGCTGACTCCGGAGTTAGAAAAGATACATAATGTGTTTCATGTATCCATGCTTAAGAAGTATGTGCATGATCCCTCTCACGTATTGGAAAAGCCGCCTGTAGAGGTACGTGAGGATTTGAACTACGCCGTGCAACCAATCAAGGTCACCGATAGGAAGGTGAAGAAATTGAGAAGCAAGGAAGTCCCAATGGTTAAAGTACTTTGGAATAGCGATCGGGTCGAAGAAGAGACATGGGAAACAGAGGCCTTGATGAGGAAACAGTATGCTTTCCTATTCGAGTAGAGCTGTGAATTTCGGGGACGAAATTCCTGTTAAGGGGGGGTAAACTTGTGACACCGCACCCGAATGTCCTTGAAAATTTGATGTTAAAATTCAAAGTTTATGTATTGGATTTCTTATTCCCAAACAATTGTAAAACGATTAATGTTTTACGTAATTCATGATCGATTATTATACCGCTCGAACTCGTACATTAGTGTTGGGCTTGCGAATACTCGTTTGGGCCTTATTAATAAATAAAATACCCTAGCGTTATCTAAATAGCTATACATAACGTTTCAAGGCAAGTTGAGGAAGGGCGGGCAGCCCAGATATCATTTTGGGCTCAACCTGCTAAAATAGCAAAATATTTGAGGACGGCGTCGTAGGCCCACTCGGGGGCGACCCACACGGCTAGTGGCCCAATAATATGGATGGCAAATGTCAAAATAAGTGCTAGGATGAGTTGAGATGAACACAAATGCCTATGATCCCATCTTTGACATTTTTGAGCTAAATAATGGGAGTAGGATTTTCCTTCTATAATGTTCATCAAGTAAATTATTGAGATGAGCCTACACATATTGGAGATCAATAATGTGATGTAGGAAGTTGACTTGTTCTAAATAAATTAGGATGAGTACAAAATACATATTTGACAAAAGATAAAACAATAGGACCCATCTTTCCATTTTTGGGAGTATTGGTAGATATTTTGGACCCCAAAATAATTGGGATCAATGGGGAAACACCCCACATGATTTTAGTACCTGCAAGACAAGAAAAATAAGTGAGGAGACTTACCTTGGCCGCACAAGCTGGAGGAGAGCTGCACAAGACTTGATTGGAATCAAACTTGAGACCCACCTTGTCAATTTCCGCACAAATCATGGGTGTGGTTTGTCTCCCTCCTTAAAGGGAGTTGTACTCGTCCAAATGAGGTGTATAAGGTGTCCTTGGATAGCCTTTGAAGTCTATTTTCATATTTGAGTGGCCTCTGTTCGAGAGGAGAGAGTTATCTTACAAAAATCGAGCTGGAGTGAGCTGTGGTCTGTAAACTCGAGCTGTGAGAGTGCTGATACTGTTGGGTTGATATCTCGAGCTATACTAATCCAATTAAGGCGTGTGAGATACCACCAGAAAGCTCTCAAGACGAGGAATCCGTGAAGGTCTGGTTTGCAGCAATCGGAGTAGTGGAAGGCTTCCAAACCGTCCGAGCAAAACACAACCTCGCAGAAACGGATCTACTCTTCTAAAGTGAGTTGTTAACCCCAAAACCTTTCCTTTCATTTTCCAAATGATATGAACGATTGGTGGAACTATTGTACACTAATCCAAGTGTATAATATGTCCTTGTAAAGTTATTTTATTGATGTAAAGGTTAGATACTAACCTAGAGCAAATCTTGGAAAACTAGGAAACGAGTTAGCCGGAAAACACCCATTCTAGGGGCTGTTTCGTATCAACGATTAGGGGTTGAAATAGCAACTTGAGGAGGCTGTTTAACACCCATTTTCAAGCAAGGAACCAGTTCTCAATCTTCCTTGGCCGTGGCTTTGGTCATTGGATTGAGAAGGAAAGTTTTAAAGCTCATTTGAGGTGAGGATCGACATCTAGTTGCTTACAACTTGTAGGTTAAGCATAAGATTACCTAAATGCCAAAATAATGTTTTCCATGGATTATGATGATAATTTATTGATGGAATATTGATCTATTTTCCAAAGAATGAAATGGAAATGATTTGGTAAAGTATTGATAAAAATGGAGTTAAATGAACTATTGTGTGAAATAGGCATTTTACTCATGTGTGAATTGTGTAGATACATAAATGATTATTTATGTGTTACATTGAATGATTAAGTTGCTACTACATATCTCTAAATATGTAGGGTTTTACAAATGGAATATATGATGGATAAGAATAATCTTAATAGTATTGAAATACTAGTTAATGATTGTGGTAATTGTTAAGGGAATTGAATCTAAGGATTTGATTATAATTGATGTACTTGATTGTGACGCAAGTGACAAATTTGATGTAATGTGATGCTAAGACCATGGTTGGGCAGTCCGTAGGGATGTCCCAAAATAGATTATTGATATTACAATTCTAGGCATAGTGAGTGCTTAGGAATTGGGGTCTATGCCAATGTAAGGAGATGTACTTGAGCCCGTGCTCATAGAATTGCATTGGGTAGACATGATGAGGTGATTGTTGTGCATGGTGATGTAGTTGAGTTGGACTCAAGAAATGCACGGTGGAGTAGTTAGCTTATGTTAATTAAGGTGCATGGTGATGTAGTCGAGTTGGACTCGAGAAATGCACGGTGGAGTAGTTAGCTTATGTTAATTAAGGTGCATGGTGATCTAGTCGAGTTGGACTCGAGAATGCAAACATATGTGTTAGGGTTGAACCCTATGTATTGTTGTGACTAGGGGTCACGGGATTTTGGGGTATGTTTGATAAACAAACCTTGGGCCTACGGGCCGACTACTTGACTTTATATATAAAGTAAGTATATTTTTAAAAAGGGGTAACTTGGGGTTACGGCCTAGATTATACTATCACCCTATTTGAGGGTCTTGTGTTTGAAATACTTGTTGTATATCTATTAGATGCCATCCACACCAGCACTTTATAGCCCTATAGAGTGCTGACCCCTTCGGGGGCATCCCACCACCATTTTTCAGGTTGAGGCTAGAGTTTGCTTCCTGTGCTCGTTGCTCGAGAGATCATCTAGGAGCGAAGACTTGGTTCGTGCTTCCTCCATTCGGATTTTAAACATTAATAAACATGCTCATGGATATTTTACTATGGAGCCTGCGTGCTCATGAATAGCCCGGTGTGGCCTTTTTGTTTTAAACAATGTTTTCCGCTGCATTATGAATTACTTATTATGTTTGTTTATGGATGGCTTACGTGTGAATGATATTCGAGACGCCTTGTATAATATGAATGTGTTGGACTGCGGTTGACTATTCGTATTGTACGGCGGGTTGTTGACGTGTCCGGGGAGGTCCGGGGCGTGACAAAAATGGTGCTAGATGAATTTGAGATATGGGTACAGGTCCATAATGTGCCGTATAGTTTTGAAAATCTGGGCACGGCAAGGAGAATAGGGAACCATCTGGGGGAATTTATCACATGGGATGAACAAAAATTTAGCAGTAAGAAGGAGGCTTATATGCGTGTGAGAGTTCGTATGAACACTGGTAAAACCTTAAAGGTTGGAACTACTCCAAGGAAAAGTAAGGGTGAAGGGCACTGGGTAGACTTTAAATATGAAAAGTTGCCAAGTTCTGCTTTTGCTGTGGTATGATTGGCCATGAAGAGAAATTTTGCCCCTTGTTGTACGAAAAGGAGGGACAACCTATGATTAAACCATTTGGGTTGTGACTTAGAGCGGGTGGCGGGAGCTCAAAACCTGATTTGGGAAGCAAGTGGCTGATAACGGAAGGAAATTCCTCTGGTGATGATTTGCACTTGTCTAATACGGTGAAATCAAGGCAGGGTTGGACTCGGAGGAGACAGGGGGAGCACCAAGGCGGAAGTGGGGAAGGGGGCGGCCTCAGGTGAGCTCAAAGAGGAAGGAATGATCGGAGAGCTGAAGAGAAGGCGCACTTGGGAGGACCAGGAGAGGGAGGGACTGGAATGGATGCTATGGTGCTGGACTCTCCCAAAAACAGGGATGGGGCAGGCACTGGTCTCCAGCCCTGCCAGAGGACCTGATGCTGATTATTACGCTTTTAGCTGAAGAACTTCTTTATCCTAGTTATTTTGTTTTGTTTATTTTCCACGTTCTAGATGTTGTTTTTGCTTTGATTGTGCTGGGTTTTTCCAGCAAAAAAACTTTGGAAACTGAAACAGGTAGTGATGTGTCGTGTCTACAAGTCATAGGCTCAGGTAAGCCCAAAGCGGGATCAACGAATTATATGGCTTCTACGGAGGTGATTAATTCAGATTCTGGTCCTTGGACGGACGGTAGACAGGAGACTTGTCGTCACACAGTTACCTTGTTTAGTTTGGTCTGTTTGGTCCTTTTTGGTATGATATATTAAGCTAGTTTCGTTCAAAAATACTAGCTTTCACTCAAGTTTTCCCCCACTAAAGCACAGAGAGATTGTTTTCGTATGACACATAATGAAAATCGCGTTGAAAATTGCATGGACTGACTGCTACTTCATAACAAAGGAGCGCAAACAGTTTAGTGAGTCATTTTACTTTATTCCATCATATTCTCAAAACCAAAAATGGTGAGTTTTTGGCTCCATTGAAAATGTTGGAAAATAAATTTATTTTTGAATAAATTGTACGAAGCATATATGTATACAAACAAGTGTACAAGAAATGTAAAAATATCATCTTTATTGGATATGATATAGGAAAAAGATTATTGATTATTTTTCATTATTGTTATTATTATTATAAGACAACGTTTGATAAAATTGTATATGTACACGAACGTACAAAAAAGTGTAAAAACAACATTTTTGTCTGTCTTTTGATTTCTTGAAAGAAAAATGGCTTAGATATGATTTGAAAAGTGAACTGATTTTTAAATTGTTTGGATTAGGAGTACAAAAAATACTCGACGGTGGAAATTGATGAAAATGGTGTATTTGAGTTTTCAAATATTGGCATACTTCTCACTTTCTGATAGGGATCCGGCTACTAGTCTAATTGGTGGGGTAGATTTGGCCAAGTGTATTGTAGAAGGCTTAAATAGACTAGTCCCGTTATTAGTTAAAGTTGTTAGATAACTAATAACGGCCTTCCTTTTAGGGAAGGATATAAATAGTAGTTCCTATTGCAAAATTGGGAGGCTTGTTCAGACTGTTGTCTTGACTGGGAAGTTAGAGTTTTATCTCTTTCTTTGGGCTGTTTGTACTGGATTTCCGCCATTAATAAATTGTTGGTTCTTGAGCTTTGATTTCTATTTCTTCCTTGTTCTGTGACTCGATAGTTATCTATCATTGGTATCAGAGCCTGGTTGTTGTTGGGAATGGTTGGTACAAGGAAGAAAATGGAGGGGCGAATAACAAAAATCGAACGGGACTTTGATCGAAGTCAGAAGGAATTAGGTGCGAAGATCGATGCGAAGATCGATGAATCGAACGCGAAGTACGAAGAATTGTTGGCGATGATGCAAGCTGGTTTTGCAGAGATAAAGAATCGAAAGATAGACCGGTCGCAGAGTAGATCACACCACTCTACTTCTTCGCATCACACCGTTCAACACCGACATATGAAGAGCAGTGATACTTCAGAGGATTCGGATAATAAGTCCGATCACTCTGTATCGCATATTCAGTGCAATCAGCACCGCAATCACAGGCGTCAACATCCGGTTGGGAAAAAAATTGACTTGCCTATTTTCAATGGTAAGGATGTGTTCGGTTGGTTAGTAAGGATGAACAGATACTTCAGGCTGAATCATACAGACGAGGATGACAAAATTGATGTTGCATGCCGTAGTTGATATGGAAGATCAGGCACTGAGTTGGTTTCAGTGGCGGAAGGGGCAAGCTCAACGATAGAACTGGAACACTTTCACTAAAGCCTTGGCCAAACGTTTTCAACCTGATATGGTGCAGGATCCTCTAGGACCTTTATTCAATCTGAAGTAGAAGGGAACCATACAGGAGTACAGAGATCAATTCGAAACTGCCATTGCTCTTCAAGGTCACCTAACTGAGGAAGTTCTGAGAAGTATATTTCTTAAAGGATTAAGGAGAGATATCAGGGCTGAATGGAAGCTATACTCTACAAAATCATTGGCACTTTGGCAGAGGTTATGGATACAGCTACCTTAATTGAGAATAAGAATATGGAAGCGAAGATTCAAAGGAACAAAGAAGAAGGGAGGAAGAAAACACAGTATAGAACTCAGAATTGGGGTGATGGAAGAACTGGAAACCTAACCAAGGAAATGTTATCCAGATATTCAAGGAAACTGAGGACGGCAAGATCAACAAGGAGGGCAAGGATCAAAACAGTAATATAAGTGGCCCTAGATTGTCTCAAGAAGAATTACTAAACAGGAGCAAGAAGGGCTTGTGTTTTAAATGTGGGGAAAACTTGGGAAGAGGACATGTGTGTAAGATGAGAATTTATAAGATGATCTTAGTGGAGAATTCTGAAGGAGAAGAAATATCTGACATGGAATCTAGAAAGTCTGAGGAGGATCCACCTGTTTACTCAAACCCTATGGAGCACCAGACTATGCAGCTATCGATTCTTAGCAAGGAAGGGATACCTTCAATAAAAACTTTTAAAGTAAAAGGGAAGATAGAATGGCAGGGAGGTGAGATAATGGTGAATGTTCTAATAGATAGTGGTGCTACCCACAACTTTTTGTCATAGGGCCTGGTGGAGAAATGGAATATTCTTTATCACCTTATTCAAGGGTATAAGGTACAAATTGGAAACAAGGATTGTATTCCAAACTTGGGCAGATGTAATGGGTTGAAACTGAAGATACAAGGGGTTCCAATTTAACAAACCTATTACCTACTGGGATTGGGAGGTACTGACATTGTTCTAGGAATGGAATGGTTAACTGAGCTGGGGGACATGGAGGTCAATTTCAAGAAGCAGATCATTAAATAGAAACAATCAAGAGTCACTTACTGTTAGAACTTTTATTGTGGGTCAAGTTTGTCTGTAATGTCTTGTTTAAATAAAGTAGACTAGATATACCATTTATGGTATTAGATTAGTATTATTATATAATAAATAAGGTAAAGGGAATAAGGCCCAAAAAGGCCTTGGCCCAACTTCCAAGGTTTACCTAAATCGGTAACCTGTACAGCGCCTATAAATATGCGCCTTGTGTACAGGTACCGAATAAGAAAATTAATCGATCAATACACTTAGCCTTACGCTGCCCAAATAGTTCTCGATAAAACTAGAAGAAGAATTTCTCTGTTCTCGATATTGCCTTATCATTATCAGATCTTCTTTTCTTCTGTTTAATCGTTGAATACCATCTAGTTGATCGTTAGTCTGCATAAACTGGGACCAACAACTGGTATCAGAGCCTGCTCGAGTGTGATCGCCGAAGAAAAAGTTTTCGAAGTCCTCTGTTTTTCTTCTTTTCGATATTGTACCCTTTCAATCGCTGTAATCTCATTTTTGAACGAAAAAGTGTAAAAGATGTACTGCTGAAATCGCCTCTCAAAACGAGCAAGCAGTATATTCTAGATTTTCGAACAGTTTAAGTTTCAGATTTGAGGTTCTCGATATTCTGATATCGAAAAGCAGGTTTCTCGAGGTTTCTGCAAGTGTTTCAGTCTTCAAACTGCACAAAGAGATTCTCGAGATCAAGGACTTTACCGAAAAGCTGTTTTATCTGTTTAAAATTGATTTTTGATTTGCAGGATTTCGACACTGACTTTTCGACATAAGTTCTCGATTTGAGTTCTCGAACTTCTGTTCTCGATACTCAGTTTTCGATATTAAAATCTCGATATCTTGTTTTCGCACTTGCAGGTTCTCGATACGGCTTCTCGACATTCAGTTCTCGAACCTAAGTTTTCGAACTTAAAGTTCTCGATACTGACTTTTCGAAAGCTGCTTCTCGAACCTAGCTTCTCGATAGCAAGGTTTTCGATATCAAAATAACGAAAACTGCTTCTCGATAGAAGTTCTCGACCCCCCTTCTCGAACTTATTCCTGAAAATTAGGTTTTCGACATTCTACAGTTAAAAACTTAATTTTATCTGATCAAAACACTCGAACGATCTTTCTCAAAATCAACAACTGCAAAGATGGATGCTTTATCACTTGGTAATGACAGTAGGCCCCCAATTCTGAGGAGAGGTGAATACCAGATGTGGAGAACAAGATTCTTAAATTTTCTAGAAAGTAAAGATAACTTTTCCGCTATGCTGGAATCCCTCACCCAAGGACCTGCTGAGATTTGGGCAAGTGTGAATGGCGTTGATGCAAACAACCCACCTGTTAATCAAGAACGAAGATTGAAGACAAAGGCTGAGTACACTGAAGAGGATAGACAGAGAATCAAAGCTGATCTTATGGCAAAGACATTCCTGCTACAAGCAATCCCAAATGACATCTACATTCTGATTGATAGCATGGAGACTGCTAAAGAGATGTGGGATGAAGTAAAAAAGCTGATGATTGGAACTGATCTTGGACTGAAGACGAAGAAAGCAAACATCTTAACCGCTTATGATGCGTTCAAGGCTGCACCAGGGGAGGCGCTCCATGAAACGTATAACAGATTTGTACAACTGATCAACGAGATGAGGAAGATCAAGGTTGTGAAATCAAACATGGAGATGAATATACGTTTCTTGTCGAGCCTGCCCCCTGAGTGGAAAAGAACTGTAAAGAACCTGAGACAACACTTGGACTTAGATGAACTAGATCTCTGCACACTTCATGAGCATCTTCAGCAGTTTGTGAATGACACTGCTGAGATGGAAGGAAGCTTTTCTGCTAATCCTTTAGCACTCATGATTGAAGCTAAACCAAAGAGTTCATCTAAGGTTCAGAAGAAGAAGAAGGCAGTTAAGGTGGAGACAGAAGAAGAAGACAGTGAAGAAGAAGTGGATGTTGAATCTGAATTGGCTGATCTGCAGAAAAAGATGGCTCTGCTCACCAATCAGTTCAACAAGAAATTCTCTAAGAAGGGAAACTCATCCAACAAGCTGCGAACCTCCTCTGCCAATTACAAAACAAAGAACAATGATCAGAACTCTTCCAGTAGAGCTGTTGCAGCAGAAGATCCCCCCAAATGCTTCAACTGTGGAAAGGCTGGACACGTCATCAAAGACTGTCGCCTACCAAGAAAAAGGGACTTCAACTATTACAAGCAGAAGATGCTGTGGAACAAACAGAAAATGTTCATGGCTAAACAAGATGATGATAGTGCTGCAACACTTACTGAGAATGACCCGTGGCAGGAGGAGAGCTCAGATGAAGAAGAAGAGGAGAATCTGGCCCTGATGGCGCTTGTGGAAGAAGAAGAAAAGGAAAAGGGTGATGCTGCGATCCCCGGAGGAAGTACAAGCTTAAGCTCAAACATCACTGTAAGTAACTCTGAAACCATCTGTTCCTGCTCTTGTAAAGTTCACTCTTCACAAGTCAAAGGCAATCTAATTATGGAGCTAAGAGACAAGGGAAACATCAACCATAAATATTTAATTGACAGTCTAGATAAAGTCAGGTCTCTGAGCATACAGTTAGAAAATGAAAAA